CATACATACGTGCATACATACATACGTACATACATGCATGCATATGTACATAATATACGTGCATACATGCATACATGCATATGTACATACATGCATGCATGCATACATTCATACATGCATACATACGTGCATACATATGTGCATACGTACGTTTTATCACAGTTCTTAAAACTTTTTTTTTTCCTGTACTGTTTTATACAGAACTTTGGCAGATGAACAGGACCTGGGTGTTCCAGGGTCGTGGCGTCCCTCTTCAGCCTCAGACTATGTTGCTGGATGAAATCCACCAGAGACTTTATGTTGGTGCTAAAAATGCCTTGTTCTCCCTTAGCCTGGACAGGGTTAACTCACATTACAGACAGGTAATCCGAGCTTTATTCTAATTTGGTAGTCAAGAGTGGAGACAGTTGAGATTTTAGAATGAAACATTTATAAGTTATGGAGCCAGTAATGCTTAAGTTGAAATTATAATTAACAGAAAAGGGGAAGAAGAGGGAAAATGCTTATTTTGCAAAACTTTGACCTCTTTAACAGTATTTTACTGCATATTTTATCCACAACAACAATGCTATTAGGATCATGTGGAAACTATGATTTTTTTTTTCTCAGATTAGCTGGGCCAGTACAGAATCTCAGATGGAGGACTGTATGATGAAGGGGAGGGAAAAGGTAAGTGTTATACAGATGATTTTGGATGCAGATACAATGTGACTGTATGTATTTTCAGATGGGATCTGATAATGTGTGCAGGGATAATGATAAAGAAGAATAAGCCCAATGGCCTAGTTGATAATGTTAACTTGTCATCCAATGTAATTATCTGTATGAGTAGAAAGATCAATTTAAGATATATATATGCATATATATATTGACTGCACCTATAAATTGACCTACGTTTTTTACTGTTCTCATAAACCTGCGATGAATATTGAAAATTGATGTTTGTATTGATTATGCAGTAAACCATGGCCTTTTCTATCACTGCATTTTTGCTGTGTGGTCTTAAATGTCATTCTCAGCACACAACTCACACACACTCTCTTTTTTATGCTGTGTTTAAAGTCTGAATCTCTTCCAACAGCCTGAGTGTGCAAACTACATCAAAGTGTTGCAGCAATACAACCAGACCCATTTGCTGGTATGTGGGACAGGAGCCTTCAACCCTATCTGTGCTTTGGTCAAAGTGGGACACAAAGGACAGGTAAGTGACTGTGACAGAATTTTTCATTTGATTCACACCCAAATTTAAAGGGCATTTTACACATTTTTGCCATTTTGCCCAATTTTTTCATAGCAAAGACTAGTACTTGAGTAAACAGTAAACCAAATAAAATATTGCAGGACTCCTTGTTGTAAAGTTAGCTAGGTTCTAACATGCCAACAAATGGACTTATATCTCCAGAACCTCGGCCACGTTGTTTGATAATGTTTTACTCAGGACCTCCCAGAACTGTCAGTCCTGTACATCTTGGACTACTGAGCTGTTAAACACTACTCATGTTCCTGCAGATGGATGCATCCACCTGGCAACAAAGAGTGGTGTGAGGTGACGATGGGAAAGACACTAAGGCAGGGTGGAACTTTGTTTCATAAAGAGAGAGAGAGAGAGAGAAGGATTTGGCACAAGTTTTTTGTTGATAATTTAAAAAAATCTGGCGCTCCTTCTGTTCACATAAACAAAGATAGCAGACCAGGTGGTCTCTGGAGAAGGGAGGAGGTTTCTGGTCAGAGGAAATTCATGTAATGTGTCCGTTTCAGCAGCAACTTGGTTGTCTTTCATGTATGATGGTGTGCAACCAAAACCGACTGAAGGCATTGGTTTGAGCATGTTCGGACACATGTATGACATATTTCTCACATGTCACACACATGATAGTCTAGGTGTGTGTTTGCGTATGGAAGAGTCTGTGTGCCTGGGCTGTATTTAGAGAAGGGGGGGGGGGGTGTTACTGCATTCCAACGCTGGTCTAACAAGTCAACCAGCCCAGTCACAGCCACAGCACCTAGCCATCACTCACCACTGGAACGCTCACCACTGAGCAATACTGCATCATATATGGCTGATTTAATGTGTGTATAAAAATTTAAAAAAAAATCAAACCAATCAGCCTGACACAACTCTTATATGTGGTGTATGAGATTACATTAAACCTACATTTAGCTTTAATTTACAGATGCATAATATTTATAATACAATAATTTATGATGTAGAATACTCTTCCTACTTACCACACTGATTGGTCAATCATCTATTAATCTTTCGCCAACGCCAGTGATTTAGATTTTTTTTTAAAATACACTACAGAGAACTGCTTATAAACCATTACTGAATTAGCTTCGTCTGCAAATTTCAGTTTTGAGAGATCATGTTCCGTGATGAATGTGTTGAACCCAGAAAATGACTTATGTTGCAACCATAGAGCCACAGCACAGTGTGGTTCTGCAGCCTCTCATAAATCAAGACAGTATGTGACATTGCCCCGCTGAAATGCCAGTGGCTGTCAAAAACATTGTGGTGGCCCACAGCACATGAGTTGTGGTTCTACTGAGAGCTCAGATACGTTTGTGTGTGTGTGTGTGTGTGTGTGTGTGTGTGTGTGTGTGTGTGTGTTAGCCACCTGCAGTGCATGGCAGCAGCATCAGATGAGTGGGAGTAGTGATTCCACAACAATAAAAGGGCAGAGCAAAGCTGAATATACACTTCTATGTGGCAGTCCTTCATTCGGTCATCCATCACTCCTTGTCTCATCTATCTTCATTTTTCCCCTCTCATTCATCTCCTTATGATCCTTCCTCTCATTAACTCGTTTCTTTTACTTTTTCCACACATTGCCTCCTTGTTTAGATGACGTTACAGTATTGTATAGCTCTTCAGTGTGCAGTTATGGCATTTATGTTCATGTGATTTCCATAGCAAAGGCCTGTGTTTATATCTGTGTTTTTCTTCTCAAGGAGACCATGTTTGCTCTTAAAGAGGAGAGCTTTGTGAGTGGTAAAGGACGTTGTCCGTACGACCCAAAGAGTTCCTGCATATCTACTCTCTCCAGTAAGACATGGCCAGTTCTGTCACTAAATTCACCATAAACTAAGCTGAAAATTGCTTGTCAATGTACTATTATATATTTTCATTTCAGCTGTGGACCATCCCAATAGATTTGCTTTCTCTGTTCATTTTGTTTTTACCTTTTAACTGTGAATGCTGCCATCTTGTGGTCATATGTGCAACAGCACCCTGCCGTCGCTTGAGCAGAATTGGCGTTGAGACAATGAATGCATTGTGACTCATCTCTGTATCTGTCCATCAGGAGGAGAACTGTACATTGGCTTGTACACTGACTACTGGGAGAACGATGGTGCGTTGTGTCGACTTAACAACCACACTTACACTCGGACTGAAAGAAATGACAGACAGCAGCTCAATGGTTGGTTTGAATCATATTTCTGTATGAATACAACTAAATGCGTACTTACCACAGATATGACTTCATGTTATGATCATGTGGTTAATTTTTAGGGCATTCAGATAAGACCACTGCAAAAAAAAAAAAAAAAAAAACACCTAAGAATGACTTTATTTTTATGGATTGGAGCCATTATTATAGGTTTTGATCACTATCATAACAAAACAAATCAAACTACTGTTTGCTCCCGATGTATTTTTTAAAATTGTTTTATGTTATTCAGTTTGTGTCGTGATGCATTCACTCTGCAGAGCCTAAGTTTGTGGCCTCAGCAGTTGTTCCTGACAACGACGACGGGGACGATGATAAAGTTTACTTCTTCTTCACCGAGCGAGAGATGGATGCGGACGGAATGAACAGGGCTGTGTACGCCCGCGTCGGCCGAGTCTGTGCGGTAAGAACTCTAATGCACTGGAAATGTTTCTGGTTATAATTCAGCCTGTGCTGACAGCGCCGTTAGAAAACAATCTGGTCTAACATCACAGAATGACCTGGGAGGACAGAGGATGCTGGTGAACAGATGGAGCTCTTTCCTGAAAACACGTCTCATCTGCTCTGTTCCTGGTCCATTCGGCATGGATACACACTTTGATGATCTTGGTAAGACTGCATCAGTTTATATCTGATGCTGTTTAGTTTTTTGATCAATGTTTCTGTCTTTGTGGTCTTTAGTCATGTGCACTAAATCACAGTGAACTATGACATTACACTTTGTAAATTATCTTTATAATCTACCATAACAAGATGCTACAAAACTATGAAAGACTCTTTAGCCCATAATATATTTCTGATTCCAGTGTCACTTTTAAACTCTCTGTCACATTTAAAAATGTAATGCTTTGCTGCTTGAAACTGTACTTTTTTGTCCCACTTAAATGTTTCGGATCAACAAACAAATGATAATATCAGACTCGGATTGCCTGAGTAAATAAGTAGTTTTGTAATGAACGTGAGGTTTGGCAACACATGTGAGAAGCTTTGATAGTAAACGTGTGAGAATTTGATAGCGAACATGAGACTGATAGTGAATGTGAGACCGTTTGATTTGAAAAGTAAACGTGAAATTGTTTGATAGCGAACATGAAAGCAATAATATATTATACATATCTCTTACAGTCGTTGCACAAACCCTTATCCTCTCCTCCTAAATATCAGATGAACATAATTCTCTCATGTTTGTTTGATTTCAGAGGATATATTTGTTCTCAACAACAAAGACAAAAACAATCCAGAAGTTTTTGGCCTCTTCAGCACAACAAGGTAAGCAGATGATGGCACCTGCAGTCTGTATGTTTTTGTTCATCAAAGAGCTAATGAAACTTCTCTCTCTCTCTGCAGTGCTGTGTTTAAAGGTTATGCAGTGTGCGTCTATCACATGGACGACATTAGAGCAGCTTTTAACGGACCATTTGCCACACGAGAGAGACCCGAGCATCATTGGACTCCTTATGAGGACAAAGTCCCCTACCCCCGACCTGGTTCTGTGAGTCCTGAGTATAGATTATTGAACAAATATACAAGATTGACCCACATTCATTCACTGCGATCTCATTTTCTCTCAGTCTGACTACAGTAGTCCTAGCAGTTCAAGCAGGGACAGTTTGAACCTAACTAAAGTTAATTTGTTTCTGCACTGATCAGAACTGACACAATTAATGGTCTTCTTCTGTCCCTGAAAAATTGCCCTCTTTTACACTCGTTATTTTACTAACACCAACAGTGTGCCAGTAAAGTGAACGGTGGAGGCTTCTCCAGCTCAAAGGAGTTTCCTGATGAAGTTCTGCGCTTTGTGCGCTCCCATCCTGTGATGTTTCGTCCAGTCCTTCCGCAGCATCACAGACCTGTCCTTCTGCAGACAGAGCCAGGCAGAAGAAAGTTGACCCAGATTGCAGTGGACAGAGTCCAAGCCCAAGACGGGCACTACCATGTCCTCTACATTGGCACCGGTAAACACAGACTGCATCATCTACACATTATATTGTTCCTGAAGTAAAATACTTTTACACAGAGGTGAAATTAAAGTGTGTTTACCGGTATATAAAAATGTAATTTCATCCCAATGTATGTACTGTACGTGTGAGCAACAACGCTTTCTTTTTCATTAGATGACTCTGTGGTTTTGAAAGTTATCACCATTTATAATAAAGACACAGACACCATGGAGGAGGTGCTGCTGGAGGAGTTGCAAGTGTTCAAGGTATATTCAGCCACAAAACCTGTTCATAAAACAAAACATATGCTGGACTTAGTCCCACTTTATAGTTTGTTGGGGTAGAGGGCGTGCTTCTCACTTTTAAAGAGAACACGAATCAAAAGGTCCAAACAATTTTTTAAAGTGAACTTTCAGCCAATCTCACAAAGACTGTGAAATGTGTGTACATGTGCAAAGACAAACGTATATACTGCAAATCCTGTTGCAGTACAGTTATTAGAAACTTGTGAGGCACAAGTCGCTTATGTGCAAGACAGAAAAAAACAGTTTGCGAATGGGTGAATGTGACTTGTTGAGTAGAATGTAATTAAGGTCATTGTGTCTTTATTGTCATTCACATCACATGTGGTACATGAGGTGGAACAAAACTACTGTATGTACACAGGGTCCCAGTTACATCCAACAAAAATACAAATTGTAAAAAAGCAGTAATAAGATCTAAGAAACGAACTAAGAAATATGCTAAACTAATAATATACTAAGCACTAATAGTACAAAACAATGTGCCAAACAGCAGCACAATTAGTGGCCATTTAGATAACAAAAATGTCAAATTAAGGCAACAGAAATTATTTAAGTGCATTAAATAATTTGCAACATTCATAATGTTTGTCTGCAAAATAAGCTCAGCCTGTATCAAATTTATAAGTTTGCATGTTGCATATTGGGTCAATATGCAATGGTTGCTAAAATTTACATTAGTCACAAAAAGGTTAAATCAAATACAAGGACAACTTAACTCTTTTGTATACTTAATGCGACACTGATTCAACTTAATTTCTGACTCACAGTATTTTACATCCTATTTTCAGGTGCCTGCACCAATTACAGAGATCATTATATCACCGAAACGGGTAAGAGAACCGTGTATTATTTTAATTATTCCTGCAATTCTGCTAGTGGTCCACAAGATGACAGTGTCAGAACATGATCTAACATGCAGTGCTGACATAAAGCACAGTATCTTATTTATGGTTAAGTAACTCAGCTGGATGAGGAAGAGACCGAATGAAAAATTAAACCATCTGATTCCAGTGAAACGGTTTTCAAAGCAACTGTCCATATTTTGGTTCCACAGCAAACGCTGTATGTGGGGTCAGCAGTGGGCATTGCACAAGTCAGACTGCACCAGTGTGATCTCTATGGTTCAGAGTGTGCTGACTGTTGCCTGGCCAGAGACCCATACTGTGCCTGGGATGGGCTCACCTGCTCCAGATACTACCCTGCTGGAGTTTACACCAAGAGGTAACAGCACACACACCATCGCCGCAGATGTTTGAGGGTGACGTGAGCTGTTCACACCTTCACCAGTAGATGTTCTTGCCCTAAAAGTCACAAGTCTGTGACGCTTGTTATCAAGTGATTATTCAAGACAAAAGACAGGCAGGGGTTATGTAAGGCCTATCAATGTGTACATGTTCACCCTCTTCCTCTTTTGTATTTTTCTTCATCTTATCTGCAATTTCACTTACTTTCTTTGAGTTCACACATCTGTTATGCTTTCATCACGTTTAAACTGATTTCTTCTCACTTACTGTCTGCAGCAGACGATTCAGACGGCAAGATGTTCGCCATGGCAACGCCGCACAGCTGTGCAACGGGCTGCAAATTGATGGTTAGTGTATTAAATGACTGTGAAAAGTGCATTTGTAATGGTGTGTGAGCAATTGTGGAGTTATCTAAAAATACAGTTGGCCAAATACTGCATGCATGCTGCAGAGATAAGAAGACTATCCATCCATCCATTTCCTGCTTCTTTCGCGGGGCTCGCTGGTGTCCATGTCCAGCCATCACTTTGCAGGAGGCGGGGGACACCTGGACAGGTCACAATCCATCACAGGGACACATAGAGACAAACAAGACAAACAACCATTCACTCTCTCACTCACACCTAGGGACAATTTAGAGTTACCAATCAGCCTAACATGCATGTTTTTGGTCTGTGGGAGGACACCGGAGTAACCGGAGAAAACCCACGCATGCACGGAGAGAACATGCAAACTCCACCCAGAAGGGCCCTGGACCGGGATTTGAACCAGTGACCTGCTCACTGAGAGGTGGCAGCTCTATCAACTGTGCCACCGTGCTGCCCCTAAGAAAACTAGCAACATAAAAAAAGTCATGTGCCATTTTAGTTGGGGGTCGCTGTGAGGTCAGTGTGCTTGTACTGGAGCAGAAAAACAATCAGCTTTACATTATCCATCTGATGAAAGGTCACAGCAGTCAACTGCCATCATTCGGGCCTCACTATCTTTTATGATGTGTGTGTTGTGTGTGTATTTGTGTGTGTAGATGAACAATGGCAAAGAGCAGAGGAGAGGCTCGTCTACAGCGTGGAAAGCAACAGCACTTTACTTGAATGTGTCCCTCGATCACTTCAAGCCAAGGTCCTCTGGTTCTTACAGACAGAAGGAGAGAAACATGAGGTGAATTTAAATTTTTTCAGAATCAAAATAAGCGGTATTGTCATTGTACAGAAATACAGTGAGATTATGTTCGCACAGCTGTCCAAAAGATGGGTGGAGTGCACGTTGCTGCTGTTCCTGAGAGCGTGGACTCTTATCCATTTTCAGAATACTTTTTAGATAGAAAAGGAGAAAAGACCATGAGGATATAACAGTGGTATTACAAAAAAGATCTTTTCACATCTTGTCCTATTAGGACATGATTTAAGACACCAAAAAAAAACTCTACCTCTACTCTACAAGCACATTTATAGACACATTACATATGCATTGCACAGCAAGATTGTGAGATTTGTCCATGAAGCACTTCCAGATAGACCCTAGTCCTGTTAAGATGTTGGTGTCAACCAGTACCGTTCTGATAAGCCTTCACAGAAGTTCTTGGGGTGGGGGGTGGTGTTGTGATAGACATAGATTTTCCTTAGTTTACACATATCTCAGTAGAAATTTGATAAGTCGGCCTGCTTCGAGGCCAAACGTGGGAGTCAGATTCAGATAAGTCACAATTGTTGTTTTTTTAGGCAGACTGTTTGTTTTCTTGTCAGCCTTGAGCCCTGTTGGTACTTTTGATACAAAAGGGCCAGATATGTGGGAATTCCACTGGTCTGTGCTTATGAGCCTCCTGCAAGGTCGTCCCCAACATGCTGATGAGTCCCAGAAGCTGCAGGTGGCCTGTGAATCTCACAAATCGCTTCCATCTTATGGATTAGCTCATAAATCAGCTGATTTTGAGTACTCGAAGCACGAGCCAAACCTTCACACAGACTCTGCAGTTTTGCCATGGCCGAAACTGCCGCTGTCTTCTTCAATAGCTGATAACATAGGAATCTGCCAATGCTAAAAAGCAGAAACCCTGCTATCACAGCTCCAATTATATAAACATTTGCAGTGTCTTCCTGAGACAATACGGAAAGGTACATCAGTCCCAAACTCCCCACGGATCCATGACATATTCTGCCGCGTGCATCTCAGTTGGACATAAGGGCTCTCCAGGACCCTGTTGCTTTGTTGAAAAGATTTTTTCGATTGCATTGAAAGTCCAGCCGACCAGATCCATGACAGTAGTTTTCGTTTTGGAAGATGTATAAATAGGAGCTCTGATACACAGACAGAGAGCAAAAAAAAAAAAGGCAGGAGGACAGGAGAGGGAATAAAATGTATCCGCCTTGCACGAGAGCGAGTGAGGGAAAAAAAAAGCAATTTACAACTTTGGTCTTTTTAGCATATATTTGACAAACAGAAAATACTAAAAGTGACTGTTTGACACACAATTTTCAAGTTTACCTCTAACTTCTATAATTCTCTATTATAATCAGTTTCTAAAAACAATTAGTTCCACTTATTCTAATAGAGCTGTGAAGGTTACAATTTGTTCTGCAATCATGACAGAATTATAGATTCAAACTTCAGGCAACAGGCAGCTGTAGAGAAAAAAGCCTAGATATGTACAAGACTAATCTAGATTTTCAATTATTTGAGCACCACATTACCTTTTTTTTTGTTTATCTGTGCTCCAGTATTTGGGACTGGTAGACATTAGCATGAGTTTAAATGCCTATATGTTTAGACTAAAGATTAGATTTTAACATGCACTATACACTACAACAAACAGAAACAATGCTTGGTGTACATTAGTCACTGTACTGAGTGGACTGTTAACGTGCCAGCCCTCCCTAATTCATTAATTATAGTTCATTTTGGGAGAAGGACTAATGCAAAGCAGTGTCACATTTAAATGCATGTCTTGACCTAAATAATGAGTTTTTTAAAAATACAGATCCTCTTTTTTTCTTTGTGTAGATACGAGGTGATGAGAGGATCATCATGACCCCCCATGGGCTCCTGTTCTTACATGTGAGAAGCTCTGATGCGGGTGTGTACGTGTGCCAGACGGTGGAACATGGATATGTGCATACTTTACTTCGGATCAGTCTGAATGTGCTCAGAGGGGAGAGGTTGGAGTCAGTGATCAACTCGCCTAATGACGGAGCAGGAGACAGAGCTGCACCTCCATGCTCCTCCGTCATTGCCCCCCCACCGGGGCCTAGCGTCAGCCCCAGGTCTCTGCTGCCACCCTCGGTCCCAGTTCCCAACTCCAGGCTGTGGTACAAAGAGTTCCTGCAGCTAATTGGCTATGGTGACGCTCAGAAAGTAGAAGAGTACTGTGAGCGAGTGTGGTGCTCTGATAAGAAGCGTAAAAAGACCAAACGGAGGTACGCTCCTCTGGGAGGTGAAAAGAAAGGAAAGGGAAGAGGAGACGAAAACCCCCACCGAGCTCCCAGGCACACCTTTGACACCTGAAGAGAACACAGACTCATCTCACACACACACACACGTTTACACACACGCAAACATACTGTTTAAAGGTCAAACTCGCTCACTGTGTGCCCCACTTTAGAGGTTTTGGCTTTACTTTAATTAGGAGCAGTAAAATAAAAGAATAAAACAGTAGCAGACTGTTTTGAATCTGTAGCTACATCTGTGTGTCTTTGCTGCCAAATCTCCTCTTTTCTTTAAATTCATACTGGACTCTGCAAGCATCACTGTTGAAGGAGATTCCCTGGACAGATGGAGAAGACATTAGGTTGCCTCTGACCTGAGAGACTAAACCCTGCTGCCAATCAAAGCCCACAGTCTGCTTCATTTAAAAAAAAAAAAAAAAAACTGCTCACACTGTCACTGGCTCGCAGAAAATTACTAACATGTTCTGTATATAATGTGAAAGAATATAGCAATGTCAAAGCATGATAAATTATTATTATTTTCTCCACTCTGGTTTGATTTCATCTATGATAATGACAAAAACTGGGGAATAGAGTGTTGTTTTTGTACATTAAAATACTTTGAGCTCTGTAATACTGCTAATTTAAAGAGATGTGGCTGCAAGTTATATGGTAATAATTGCCATGAATATATATATGTTGCAATGGTAACTGAGGTATGTTTGGAATATATATATATATATAAAAAAAGACAGAACGAGACTAATTATGCACTTGCTATATAAAACCTTCTTCAATGGATGGAAAAATGGTTTTACTAATGAACATTTTTGTTTTTTATTGAGTTCTGTTTATTAGAGACACAGCTCCTCTTTGAATCTAGTGTAACACAGCTGTGTATATTGTATTTTGTATTTTATCCCAAGTTTATTTGTGCGTAAGTCGAGTTTTTATACCTGTGTATTCAAACTGTGTTTTTTTTTTAGGTGTCTAGCTGTTGTTTTACTCCTCTCCTTCTTTTATTCCTTCTTCACCTCTCATTTGACAGCAATCCATCAGACGTTGAAGATGGGATGCATAATTACCACCACAAACAGCACAGCATCTCTTTCTCCAGAAAATGAAAAATAAATGCTGCAGTAAGCATTCTAGCATGCCATTAGTGTTATGAATATTCATTTAATCCTCGGATGACAGACACAGTCTGATATTACAGTGAAATAACTGTAGTGGTTGTACTAATTTCTTTGCTACAGAGAATTGTTGTTTTTACTGTTCAATTTGCTCATTATTTATTAGTTTTCACTGTATTGTTTTTACCCTGAATACATTATTTATAAGAATGTGGTAAAGTTACAATGTACTTTATGAGACCTTGTATTGCATATTCATCAAGTAGTCATTCACTATTATGTAAATATTATATCTCTACCCTTTAAAAATACCTGATATTAAAAACAAGTCTTTATTTTTTTTGTTTTCATCTCTGTTTAGTCAAAATAAAGACAAAGACTGTTCTGAGCATGTACACAGACATATTCTACGTGTAAGTCGTTACAACTTTGTATTCATTCTCTGAGTCAATTGGTGATTTTTGTAAACAAGAAATCCAAAAAGTGCTAAACTAAACTTTGAAAATAATTCATGGAACTGCAGTTCTAATCATTGCGTACAAGTTTTTAAAGATCTTGCAGGCATTGCGTACTCCCTTTGTGCTGTGAGTGAGTGTGAATAGAAGTGTCTATATAGAAATAACAGCGGGTCGATTTGTTATCAGCCCATTAAACAGTCGTTATTAGTTGTTGTCATCCCCATAGGTTACGTTCAGACTGTCCCTCCTGTACCTCCTAGTAGGTTTAAAGGTACGTTCTTATCGCTAATATGCAGCTTCGCCCACATCTAAAACCAGAATTTTTTTTCTCAGCTTTATTTAACCGTTCACCTAAACCTAACCTTACACTTAACCCAGAGCACTGACCCTAAACTTAACCCCCTGACCCTTGAGCCTTAACCTAACTGTGACTCTATTAGCAGGAATAAGAACATTTCTTTAAACCTACTAGGAGGGACAGACTGAACATAACCTACTGGGATAACTAATAACAGCCATTTAATGGCTGCTATCAGAAATAAACAGTACTTGACAAATGCATTTTAAAAATAATTGTATTAAGATCATCATTCCTAATCCAGCATAAAAAAATGCATTGCCATTTCACATTTTTGCAAACAAAAGCAAGCTACTTTTTCTCAAATTGCCATTTACCAACCTACTAACAATTCTGCAGTTGACAATTACACCCAGCGTGTTTCCAACAAATTGTCTCGCTTCTTGCGTGTTTGGCAAAATATATTGCATATTCATAATTTGTGGAAGAGTAAAAATAAAACTGTGGCGTTTCTGTGCAAATAATGGCCACTGTTACATAAAGTATTCTCTAAACACTGATTAGATGAACAGACCATTAGAGGTGGGGTGAATGTTTGAGTATGTCAAGTTTCAGCCTGATTTGCATGCCCGTTTCTCTGATTTTGTTCCACTATTATAAAATAATGCTGGGTTAAGTGGTGATTTCATATTGAGCATGTGTGTGAGTGTGTCCATGCATGGTTGGTTTAGTTGGGCTTGTCTCAGCATTGGCCCAGTGATGGACTGCCTGCCTCTCTTTTTATGACAGCAGAGAAAGGCTTCAAGCATTAAACCCTGAAGGGGAGAAAGTGTTTGTTTAGAACAAGAAAAATAATGAGTTGAGAGGCTTCAACCAGAAAAAAAGCACATGTATAAAACCAGTCAGTTAGTGTAGGTCCTCCTTTATTTTTTTGTCTTCATGTGTTTTCCAGGATGCTGCACTCATTCATATTCTGTGTAGGTCCACCTCCATCGGTGAGGAGCTCAAGGCATCTGTGAATGGAATTCATGCTGCTGATTTATTCCACATGGCTACCATAGCAACAGGCTCTGAACCAGTTCAACCACCTTCCTCATCAAAGCTCCTTGTTCTCCCTCTAAGTTTAAACACCGTTAGCCTGATGCCCGGGCCCGTAAAGTCAGCAGTCATTGTGACGACTCGTTAATCACATTGTGACGTACAGAATGACACTGATTCTTTCAGATGAGCTCAAAGATGACCTCTCCTTTTACAATCAAGGTGGCAAAGTTTTGTCTATAGCTCTTCTGACCTGACACAAAAATGCCACATAGGTAACTTTAGACGTGTGTTTTTAATTGGTGAAATGTTTGAACTTTTAATTGAGCTATTAAAGGGTTGAAATGTCAAAAAGGTCATTGCAAAAAGCTGAAGTAATACACAGGTTTTTGTGACATTTTAAGGTTACGGCTTACTCTTTTTTCAATTATCACCATCTCCCTGCTTTTTTTTAATTTTTTTTTTTTTATCAGGACTCGGTGCTCCAGAACATTTTGTTATTAATGAAAATGTCACAGGGGGAGAGAGAGGTCTGGAAGCAGTGGAACATGAACAAGAAAGTAATGATCTGTAATTCTGCAGTACTCTGTGCTGCGACTGAAGGAACGTTTATGCATGCATAGGTTTAAGCTGAAGCTTTATAGGTTTTCAGTGGGTTTAATGGGAATGTGAAGAGTCATGTGCACACTTTAAAGACAACAACTTAAACATTTCTGTTTACCAGCCAACATCGTGTTCTGGGAATCATCAATATAACAGTAAAAAATACTTCATGTAAGACTGATCAATGTATCGTTTCTCTAACAGTTTTATCATTAAATAGTTGCACATTACCAATACTCTCTCTATAAATTTATAATATTCATTTTGTATGCATTAAATCCTAAAAAAAAGACAATGACTTCTACTGTTGAGCTTATAAGAGGCCCAAATACTGTAAAAAGAGTAGACAAGCAGAGCCAGTGACGGTAGGTGATGCATCTAAATCATTCCTGTCTCTAACAAAGATCTAGACACAAATGTCCTGTTGTCAGAAAAACTGTATCAAATATTTTTCCCTTAAAGCACAATGGTCTCATTAGATAGATGGACTTCTTATAATCAAAGTGCTGCCAGTGATTTTGGATTAGAAAGTTTAGTTTAATTTAGAATTTTTTTACGTCATGCCAGAAATATGGTTCTGTTATAAATGGAAGAACAATGTCTCATGAACTAATGAGCCACCAATCAACTTATTTCAGTTAATAAATACTGTATATAATATAAAGAACCAACAAAACAATACAACAGGTTTAACTTTATGGAATTCCTTAAGCACTGCTTTATAGATCAGCTTCCTGCAAAAATAATGAAAACAGCTTTTTCCCTCTTTTAAAAACAAACAATGAAATACTAATATAGTATGGTACGGAGACCAGGAGGGGACATGGGGGATCCCCCCCCCCTTTGTGTTCCCACACAAATGTTATTGCGTTCCCTTGCAATACTGTACTGTATGTAGTGTTACCTCACAGGCAACAGCAGCAATGGAATGAAGTGTATGGAATGAAGACATTTCATCCTCTATCCAGAGGGCTTCATCAGTCACCAGCAAAACCAGCAAACTGGTTGGTCCACTTAAGTTTACTGCTTGGTGAGGAAAACAGTTTATGGGACTCCTCAGACTGATGAAGCCCTCTGGATAGAGGGTGCAACGTCTTTCCACAAAAAAATAGAAAATGTCCAGATGACCTGACTGACCATTACAGTATTTTGTACCTGGATGACTGAGCATGAACTTTGATGCTTTAAAAGAAAGTTGCAGTACTTTTGAAACATAAGTGTCACCTTGCTCTTTTGGATTTTAAATGGTGAGAAAATTCATGATTTAAGCTCATTAGCACTGCAATTTATTGACAGTACCTAAAAGAACCATCGCTCCTCGGAGGAGGGACAGACTGAGAGCGGCTGACCGAAATCAGACTGTCTGCATCAGATTGAACGAGGAAGCCACCACTGAATCCACGGAGCATGAACGTGAAATATCCAATGTAAAACTAACTTTACAACTGCAGCACTCACTGGATATCCTTATGTTTAAGGCTGATTTCAAAACAAAACTGCATGAACCTCAAACACGGGTGTCTGTTCCATTGTTGCTGTTGTCTGTGAGACAAAAAAGGTTAAATCATGTCATCTGGACCAGTTTCTTCTTTTAGGGAGGAACGTTTGTTGTCTGTGAGGTAACACTACATACAGTACAGTATTGCGAGGGAACGCAAAACCTTTTGTGTGGGAACGCAAAATTATTTTGAGGGAACGCAAAAAAAAAAAAATCCCCCATGTCCCCTCCAGGACTCGGTATACTAGACATAAATACAGTAATTTGGTGAAAACAACTAACAATGTATTTTTCTCTATGCTGTTCTACACATACACTGCTTCCACATAAACATTTCATGAAATATGCACTTTTGCACGAATCAGTGGCTATCATATTCTTACTATTTGCTTCAGGGTAAGCATATATTTTTACCTCAAATCTTTGAGAGCTTGTCAAGTGGAAGATAATTGTTACAATTCCTTTCAGATCAATATGTGGAGGCAAAGA